ACGCATCTGGGGTTTCAGTTGTTGAATAATTTATTGCTGAATTTGGGGAATGTTTCTCAGGTAAACCAATGCCCTGAGGGGCCTGAGCAAGCTTGGGACCGATGTGTCCAATGAAACACATAACCATACTCATTAATATCTAATCTTTTATGAATGTCTCTTTCAGCCTCTGTGGTGAATCCTGTTGACCTCTTATTATCATCTGAATTAGGCTCTATTACTCGTAGTTTCTCTACCAAAGGTCTCTCAGATGTTGGAGGAAGCACTGTCCCTCATCCAATTATGTGCCAGCTGACATTAGGAAACTTGTTTCCTCAACTTTATCAATTTGGTTGACAACTGGCACCACCACACAACGTCTGATTGGTCAGCTTAAGGGATCAATTGTTACAAGTTTAAAAAGTTAAAAATTGGGCAGTTAAAATTAAATATTGATAAATGCTGATTGGCATACCCTGAGCAGACGGCAGCTCATCTTAGATCTAAGTCTGCAAATGTAGTCATGTGAATGGATAAAGAACAGACTTATCTATCGCTGGTGCTGGGGGGGGGGGGGGCAGCAGCAGATAAGCATCTGTGCATTGTGCATTTATAGTAATGATGCATTAAGACTCTGGTTTGAAGAATTACAGTTCTGAATCTGAAAATTCAGCATGACCTAATGAATGCGACACATATGAAATAAGGGAAAAATAACTATTTCTCTATCACCACTTCAGCCTTGCCTGGTCATAACTTGCTCAGAGGCCACTGATAAAACGATTACTATCTCTTGACAAAGAGGCCTTTCAGGCTGCGAGAGAAGTCTGCGTCTCATTTACATGAACCAGGGAACTGGGACTCTTTGTAACTCATCTTGTGCTCCACATGTTGAGTTTCCAGTTGCATTCCTGGTCAAAGGGTGCATGTTTGAGGATGTCAATTTGAAACTGAACTGTCTTGACGAAGGGGGGACGACAGTGGGTGGAACATCCCACAAAGAGGGACTTGATTTGTGACTTTTGCTCTTTAGAGCAACAATGCGAGCCACTGAGGGGCCTGCGCTTTCTAATTTGGATAAAGGGAGGGGAATACATTTCGGACGAGAACTGTGTCGGACGGCGTCCAGTCGCTGCGCGTCATCACACGTCAGTCACATTTTAAACAGGTCCGTGGAATTAATGCTTAAATACCGCCAGCCCCAAAGACAGCGCAGCACACACAGTGCCTGTTCTTCTAAGTGCCAGAAAATATCATACTGCTTTGTTCCAGGATGTACCCCCACTGGGGGAATTGCCATGATTGGCTCCTTTCTACAAGCTGCCAGGATAACAGCAGTGGAAAGGGAGCCGACACGGTGGATGGGATCAGTGAAAGGCTTCATACTTTGATAAACTCATGCAAAGTGTCGTACTTTTCCTGGATGGGTCATTAATGGCCGAACGTTAAGCTCTGATGTTGCACGCACTCTGTACCTTGTCTGGAACGGGTGGCACAAATAACTTTTAATGATTTGGAACATTTTCTAATCCCATTTGCAGATTATTTCCTGAGTGGTGAGCGAAAGCTCGATAAATGGCACAAAAAGATGACGTCACACCAGGAAAATGATTTGCCATTTAAACACTACTGCAGTTAAAGTAGCTAGAGATGTGATACAAAAAAAACATAATTATGATTGGATTTTAGTCCAGGCTTTTAAACTGTTTTCTGTTAATAAAAAACAAGGGTAAATCTCTGTTGGTACTGGAAGGGACATCCATGAAGTCTCTTACGTCAAAAAATGCTGTTAATATGCACATATAGGTGTCATTCACCAGTAATTCCACCTTAAAATGAAGCAGCATAATTAAAGTTATTTGGAACTTTTGAACCAAAGAAACATGAAGAAAATAAATGTGTTCAGAAAACTTTTTATTTCTTCCTTATGTTCATTGAGCCTATCTCAACACATTAAAATTAATTTCTAAATCAACGAATTCAGAGGTTCGTTCACATAAAATGCAAGAAGATGCCCACTGTTTTAAAAAAGTGTAAACACTAAAGCTACATAAACGGAAACTATTATTATACAAATAAATGTAATTTCAAGGAAGAGAATTAGTTCCCTTTTCTGGACTTTCGGTTCTACGAGGGCTTTTGAATTTGCATTTCATTCCATCTTGCTTTTGGGAGCAAAATTCAACATTTGTTCTCTTTTCTTTTCTTTTTTAATGTTTTTTTACTCATGTTGTCCAATAGTCCCACATATCATGACCAAGATTTGTTTAATCAAAACTTTTATTGCTAAATATTTTACATATAAGTATTACATGATGATATCCTCCATTCTGAATTGTTTCCATAACCAAAAAAAGGCAGTGTACCCCATGAAACCTCCTTAAATTAAGCTAACTTTTCTTAAAGCAAGAGCAACAATGACGAGGACAACAATGCCACAGGCGGCTGGAGAGGGTAAATACTTAGGGAGTTGATGCTGATGAAAGAGATCAAAAGCAAGGATGGTAGAAAGTAGAAACAAAAGGAAGCAGAAAAGTGACCAATCAGACAAAATCAGACTGACTAAACCCCTTTATTTGCTGAAAATGACCGTTTCTAACCAATGTGTTTGCTACATGAGCCCAGTTCAGAGAGCATTTGAATGACTCCCCTAAAAGAAAACGAACAAAAAGAGCTAATTTAAAATTTCCTAAGGTAAAGAAAAATCTGGTTCTCTAATCTCGAAATGTCATCAAAGCAGCAATTGTGTCAGGTATTTGTGAATTTGTGTGTTAGGTGTCTTTTAAACCAGAAAGTCCTGATTGAAATTGCGGCTTAAAGACACAGGCGTTCGGCTCTGAACACCTTCCTTCGCCGTACAGCAGATAAACCAGCTGTGTTTGTGTCAGGCGCTCATTTGCATGGCGGCCTGCCGTGTCATCGCCTGTGTGTGCTTCATAGAAGTTGGCTGGATTAACGGTTCATCGCACATTCACTTCCCCCTGACAACACGTTGCCATTTTGTAATCATCAATCGGAATAAATGTTTGGACTTTTCCACCTCCACCTCAAATCATCTCTTAAACTGATGTTTTTCTGATGTCTCCTAAGAGGATCGGATGAGAAATCGCCGCATTCAGGATTTAGTTGGAATCAGCGTTTTACCAGTTTGGAAACAGTTGTACATTTAGTCAAATAAGGCCCACATCTCAGCCAAATAAGTGACCGAGCTGTTTTGCATGATATCAAGAAAATGGTCCCTGTGCACATGGCTAAATGGAAAAATGTTTTCATGGTAAGCAGTTTCCTAGTGAGACGTCTACATGTTGAAGCTCCGGTTAAGGCGGCATAAATGTTGCACTTTTCAAAACATGGCATGGAAAGTGAGATGAGCTAGTTACCCAGTTGTAAAAAAAAAAAATCACACATCCACCCAGGAAGCTGGGTGGGTTAGTCAGTCCCTCGGCCCGAGGTGTCGCACCGAGTTGGTTCTCCAATTTTAATGGCATACCAGCGGCCGTTTGACCTTAACCTGATCTTAAATGGCGCTTTTGCGACATCTAGACGAAAAGAGGCTCTTTGTCTGCAGAAATATCTGTTCCCTTTCCAGTCAACCAGTGCTGCCTCAAGTTCCACATTCGCGCGTTACATAACATCAAAAGATCGTTCCATGAAGTACACAGGTGTGAAATGTGGAACAAAGGAGAGCGCAGGTACTGTATCAGATAAGTCCAGCGGATGCTTTTCTTTCATTCCAATCTAAGTCAGTTTTGTGGAAAATATATGGGTGGAAATAAGTTTCAAGCAGGTGTTTGTAACACGCAAAATATGGTAGTTATTTTTCAGTGGGTTTGATCCCCCAGTTTATATGCTCAAGTGTTATTGAGTCACTGCTCATGTGTTTCTTACTTAGATGACAGTCTGGATAAATATCTGTTAAAATTATGTTATGTGGATGACTTCAATTTTCAATTTTTGTTACGAATCTTTTCAGGGAACCTTAAAAAAAATCACCATTACATCTGTGAATCCCCAGTTTTTCACTTTTATCAATCTCAATGTTCTTTTCTATGTTCTTTTTGCTTTAACATAGATGATGCGCAGATTTTCACAAGCCGGTTACAAAGTTTGAATTGTTAATATTGACCACCTCCCGCCTCCATCCTAAAATACTACGGATTCTTGGTCTGCAAGCAACAAAAAGTCTCGATCTGGACCAGTTTTACCTCTTTTGCGGTCAAAAAAGGAACTGATTGTAGATTAAAAGAACCTGCTCCGAACAGACACTGGAGCCGACCGGGTTGCAAAGGGGGTTTGAGCTGCACCTCATTCCATTCCTGACCCCTTTGTGTCAGCCACAGACATCCTCACATGCCATTCTCAACCCCTCTAACCCTTCCTCTCGCTTCCACCAGACAAACCAAACCAGTAGGATGAGGACAGGTGGGACTGTGGCTGAAGCCCTCAGCCTTATATCTAAGTTAAGTCCAAATTAATCCATTTATGACTAATTCCATATTAAATAATCGGCTATTATTGCGATCCTAACCAAATCTTTTTTTATTTAAAACAGAAATGTCTCTTTAGACTTGCTTATGCATATTAATTAAAAATGGGAAATCCTCATATTTTTTATTACTGTAAATAAGTTAGGTCATGTTTGACTTGTGTATTTTCTTAAATACTTCCAGTTATAGTGTTCAAATATCTGCATCTGAAAAGTGGGTATCAATTCCCAACTGACATAAAGTTGATTGATTCTTATAAGACACGTTTATCACTGTTTCGTTTGTGGTGAAGGCAGACTGATATCAGTTTAAAAGTGCTGAAACCTCTCGTCTGCTTCCCTTCTTCCACCTCTCTGTCCTCAGCCTGCAGCGACCTGCGCAACAGGTGCAACCACACCGCTCTCATTCTAACGATGGAGAACACGCTCTGGAGCAGGTTCACGAATAAAAGCAAATACAAGAACAATAGGTAACATTTAGATCAAGTTTGTGCAAAAGAAAAGAGAAAAAAGAACCGGGTCCAGGCTGTCTTACTTGGAGCAGAGCGCAGAGGAGCAGCAGAGTCCACAGAGAGACGCACCAGCGCGTCGGCGGCGTCATGATGCCGGGACAGGAGGCGAGAACCAGGGACTTTTCTACCCGTCCAGAGCTTCCATGACACAAACTTCTCGCTTGAAACTTCTCAATCCGTCGAACAGTCGCCACATCAGAGGAGCTGAGAGTGGACGGAGTTCACTTTTTCCTGTTAACGGGGAGGAGCGGCGCCCGGGCGCGTCACTTGGGGAAGTTCGGTTTAGGCTGCCACTCCTCTCATCATCATCATCATCATCATCATCATCATCTGCACAGTCCTCGTAGCCTCCGTCTCGGAGATTTGACAACTTCTGCTGACAGAATATTTTGTTTCTCTGAACTTCGAGGAAAAAACGTGCGGCGTGTTTCGGAGAAATGAAAACAAGCTCCCCCGCGTGCTCGACATAACTTGGCCGGTGAAACAATACAACCCGGGATCTCTGCTGTGTAATTACGGGCCGCACAGCCCATGGCTGCAGATAACTCGGTCTATGTAGACATAGTTTCTCTGTAACTAACAAGTGATGCTCCAGGCTGTTCCATATGAGTCCAACGTGCGTGAGGAGCAATTTCGGGCACTAAGGATGACAAACTGATGTCACGGGGCTCCTCATGTGATGCCCACACAGATTTATTTTTTCTTAAACTGGGAAACACTTAATAACCTGGTGATCCAACCCTACAAAAAAAATGAATATCCTTATTTAAGGAAAGTTATCTTAAACTCTGCACTGAATGAATGTTGAATTGTGTCCTCATTATTTATCTCTATATGGCAATATTTGGTGTTCAGCTAAAGCGTGCAAACAAATCATTGATCTAAACAGACCTTTGACAGATAACTCCATGCTAATTTCTACATGGAACCACAATCGCATTAAACTTGAAAGATCCACAGTGTTCTCCACACCATTCGTGTCACAGTTTGCGAGCTACAGCTGATTACTTAATGCCGAAGTACCAAATTCAGTCAGACAGAAACTAAATTCTCCTCTTATTTTTTTTCTACATCAACAGAAAAGCCTTGGCGAAGTGGCCGCTGTTCCTCTTTGGTATTTTATACAGGTCGTATTGAGGAAATAGGCGAGCGACAACAATATCATTACCCGGTACCACAGTGGCTCACAACTGAAACCTATTAGGTTCATGACCTCAGCCCTTTTCACACAATGGTCACACCTTATCGGTGAAAAAGAAATAAAATGTCGCTGCTGTTCCTCTTTGGTAATACATACGAACCAGAAAGAGGTACCTCAGAGCCACATCAGCGTGTGCTCCATTAGGGCCTTTCACACGACGCCTTCCAGCTGAGACCGATGAGCCTTCCTTCCTGTTTGGTGTCATGTGTGAAGTAGAGATGGATCAGTGGTGAAAACTGACTCATGGGTGTGATGCGATAATTCTGAACTGTGGGCCAGCTCGAAGAAGAAATGGAAAAAATTAAGAAATTTAAAAGCAAAAAGTCTGAATGATCGATCAGGTGAACGATCGGTCAAGCCATCGGATTAACCGGCTCTTGAATTCAGAATTCAATTCAGAGCTCAATTTAGCAATACAAGGCATTTTTAAAGTGAATGAGAAGTGAGCCTGTTGAACCCTGAAAAGTCTACTAGTGCAGCCTGCTCTGAACAGGCCCTTGAATCTGTCCCCTCTGTCAGAGACGTATCAGTAACACACACATTTCAACCCCAGTCTGCTTCTGTAGTCACAAAAGCCCTTTTCACGTGTCTTCCCGTGAAGACTGATGCCATTTCGTTGTGTCTGCTCCCCATGTGCAAGCTTTTTTTGTCTTTTTTGGGGCCAGTTTGAGGAGACTGAGGTCCGAACAGGATGCTTTTTCTCAATGAGGGCACGTCGGCCTTGGTATAGTGTGAAATGGCATCCTATTTATGTCTTTATGGCTCTAGAAAAGTGGAATTTCATCATCTGCTGTAATCACAGTATGATCACAACAATTCTTGGTTTTATTTTATTTTCAATTTGCTGACATTTAGAAGCTTGTTTTGTTTGTTTTTAAAATGATGACCTGTTGTTTGTTTTATCTGTCGGTGGATGAGGTACTCTACAATAACTCCAAAAGGGTGTATGAGACGATACTATAAGGAATTTCCACCTGAAAGGTGGTAAATGCTTTGATTGATATTTCATGAAGTCTACTTCTTCAGAATGACAGGATCCACAGAAGATAAAACCATGCTGGGGTGTAAATGTCCACTGTAAAAATATGACCGTTCTCATTTTTATTTCTTTAAGAAATACCTATTTTTAATAAAAGGAAAATAAAACAAAAACATCAATATTATCGTTGTTACATTCCTGCACATCCTCCCTGAGTGAAGAATAACAGAATCTGGAAAGCAGTTGTCAAGCAAAGTTAGCCGAAAATATATCAACTTTGTAATAAAAAAACAGTTGTGGGGCTTTAGTGGGTTTAAACCTACAATTCAGGGTGAGGAGCATCTGATTAACAGATGAAAATGCTTTTCAGGCAGCTTTTTTTACCCCCAAAAAGTTTATTCTAAACATCTAAATTAGCAAGAACATTTGAATCATTGTATCATAGCTGTGTTTCATGATCATGTTGGCGTTCACAGTGAGTTCAAATCTTGTTTTAAAGTCTCTGGAGTCCAATTGTCCGTCAGATTAATAAACTGCAATGACAATCTAGCTGCATTTCTCTGCATTTGTTCATCCAGATCAAAATGGAGGTTGACTGGGCATTTTGTCCTCATGACAAACACCTTTTGAGTATGCAAAACGTGTCAGAAGTGTTCGCACCAGTGGTGGAAAACCAGTTTGAGGGAGGCAACTTTAATTACATTGTAAATCTGATGCCGCTGAAGACTGATTAAAAATAACCAGCTGCTAGAGTTTACTGCTTTCTTTATGGATATTTGAATGATGTGGTTGAAAACAAACACACCAGAGAGCCATCTTGCTTTCATTTATCTTACTCAGCCATTCAAATGGGAGCCGCTCGCAATGGACAGAAAATCCTCCCCTTGCAAAAGCCTCGGTTGACACAATAAGACACATTCATAAGAAACATTAGCTGCAAAAACATTTGAGCGCGGCCTTTAAAAAGATTAGCGTCCAGCGCCAGCTATCTTGCCATGAATCTCTCCAATGTGCTCTTGCACAATTCAAACACCTCTTAATTCTTGTGTTGCTGAAGATGTGTTGTGTCGAGTGGGTGATTTTCTGACCTTTAAATAGAACACTGGATGCCGGAGCTGCCACCGCTTTGTGACACATAGTTTCAGAATAGCAGTTTAAAGAGGCCTGCTGATGGAGACAGAGATGATATGAGCTGGTCACTGTGACCCACCATTCCCAAGGAAATGTTATGTAATCCTCTGGGGAGTGTAGAAACTTAGTGTCCTTTTTTCTTTCATTCCAACCAACCTCCCCTTCCATTTGGGCTCTTTTATTACCATTTTCAGCATCGAGTAGATTTCTTTGTTTTTCTTCCTCGTGTTTGGCCTCTAACATCCCCGCACCTCTGCGTGAAAGTCATTCAAAAGTAAAATGTTTTCACATATGAGATGATGTCGACAAAAAAAAGGCAGACTGAAGAAATGAGATGTTATCTGCGTGAGTTCAAAAGCATGTACACATCCATTAAAGCCTGGGCCCAAACATCCCTGTCCGCGTAAACTGGAGTTGCAGAGGGCAGGGTGTATACACAGCTTAACCTGCATCTCCGTGTTGATGCTTTACATTCAAGACAACAAGGTCCATGATATAAACACACTGTCTCCCCGAAGCATTGCAAGATTACATTGTAAAACACAAGAATGCACATATTGAAGCGGCACCGCTTTCCATATTTAGTCTCAACATTTTGGCCCAGTGTGTAGTAGAGATGATCACTTTGTGGGAAAGAATTTGGTGAAAAAGGATCTTATCTATTTGTCTTCTTCTTCCTGCCAACACGCTTCTTTTCTCTCTCTCTTATTTAATCTATTTTGTTTTCTTTTTTTCCTGTCATCATAATTTATTTCTGCATTGCCTATTCAAGTAATCCCCACTGACATGACTAAGTATATTATGAATCATTTTTATTTGGTTTAACAAGTTGAGCCGCTTCAACCTTTTCAACATCAATTTTTAAATTTTACAAAAGGTAAAATGAATAAATAAATAAAATATCAGGGTTCCCATATTTGCCATAAAGCATCATCCTTTTTCAGCAACTAATGTAACAACTGTTTTTACTTGAGAAGACAGAGCATACCTTTTACTGGTTATTACATTTACCCAGAAAGCCTTGTTTTCCCCATTTCACCCAAGTTGTCCATTTTTCATAACTTCAGACTTGTTCCCTTTGCCATCCCAGTTGTGGCACAGCTGCTGACACTTCAGCTGAATGCATTGTCGGAGGCTGTCTGTGGTGCTGATATCTCACCACTGTGGTAACCATGTGGTTTCTATTGTTTTTATCATGGGTTTTTACATTTGTGTAGAAACCCTGCTGAGCTTAACCAATGCAAAATCGAGAAACGCTGGGATTCTTTGCTGCACTGAGCTCTATGACAAAAGAGCCACACAGTGTAGTGGCGGTCAGTGCTGTTCCATAAAAACAAGGTGGTTTCTGGCCCAAATCTAATCGTGCGTCTTTCTGCATGGCGCTGGAAATTGGCTGGATGTATGAAACAGCATTCAACAAGTCCAGCATTCAACAAAAGCAAATAATCCTCTGGACTGAATTTAAGGCTGTGAAACAACCATACATTTTCTTTTGCTTTGAATAGATGGAAATGTTGTCATCTTTGTATTTTACTCAACCACAAATCCCTTGTTTGAAGTGCGAACATGGTTAAAAGTACGACTATATACTCTCAAATGCAAACTAAATGCAAATAATGCTGGCGTCATAGTTCTGGTAAATCTTGGCTGCGTCACACACAAACAATAAATAAAGTTGGTGAATTACACTATTAAACTTTTATTCCTTTCGTCAGTTTTATTCAGTTAGTTGTATGTTACTATTATTATTAAAAAGGAAGGCTGAACTGTGCCATATGAGGTGGTGTCCACACGAGGCCTAACAACAGGCCCGTCGAGTTTAAAAGAGAGGCCCAATCAAACAAAAAGTGACCTGGTTCAAGTTTCATACGTCAGTATGAAAAAAAGGGACCCTTTGATTATTTGCTCTATTTGAAAGAAGTTATAAGCAGGAAATAAACCAAAGCATTTCAAGTTCCAGGGCAAATAATGGAGACAATGGAGGAACTTCCTAATTAGGTCAAAGTGGTGACATAAACTGGCCATCAGCCATAAACAAAAAATGGTGGATTTTATCAGA